AATATAGTTAATATAAAGGTTATAATACTAGATTACGTAATATGAATAATAACGTAATCTAGTATTATAACCTTTATATTAACTATATTCACATTTCCTCACGGAATTAGTACTTTTACAAAAACAAAATTTTCATATATATACGATTGTACAGCTTGATAATAAATTCGTTGAAAAGAGATCCCTTCGCTGAAATTCGTGTTTTAATTTTAATGTTTATGAAATTTGTCGTATTGTATATCAGTGATCACGATAAAAAGACAAAGTGTTAGCATGCTAGTCATCAATAAGATTCGGTTCGATGGACGTATAACAGTTTACTTAGAGGCATTCACTAATACAAATCATCTATTGTTACTTAATTCATTTCAAATTAAATTATTGAGCGATTGGATGATAAATAACTCATTTATTCTTTTCATGATATTTCCTATCATTCGCTGCTTTACCGAAATTGTCTATCAAATAAAATCAGTGTTAATGTTGAGCTGTTAAGACTGTACTAAGCAGCATGTAGAAACAGTCTGCAAAATTCTACAGATCATTTACCTCTTAGTTCGTTTAATCTGTCGTAGTTTATCTCTGCTCATATGAGCACATATTTTTCTTGTGTATTATCTCTTAGAATTAGTTGGTTCTAACTCATATAATCCATTTTTTTCTTCGTTTGTTTGAATAAATCCCTAACGTTATTCCTAGGAATTGGACTCAGAATTTCTTCATAATGTACATCACTGGATTACATTTTGAAATTGAAAAACTTAAGGTTTCTTTTTTATGTAATTAAAATTTTTCTTAATTCATTTAAATCTATTCAGTGATTAGTCTGTCAACAACTGTGGATTTCGATTTCCAGAATAATTTACTTTTGTTGTATGGTTTGTGAAACTAGATTGTTGGTTAATCACATTTGTGTAAAAACATTATTCATTAGTTTTAATTTCGTTTTGAGTTTGCAGGATGTGTTGAATGTTTGTTAATTTTTGGACGTTCAAGGGTTGTACAATAATTGTCAATTAATATCACACTTTCATGTTATAACAACATACAAGCTACTGACTACTTATGATCTCTTGCCAGTTTATTAGACCCTATAAATGATCTTTGCTTAGTTTGTAATTTATTCTTATGTTCGGCATAAATATTTTTCGCTGTTTTTTCTACTTTGTTTTCTTTTTAATGATTGTTGTTTATACTTATTTACGTAACAAATGAAGAAGTATACAAACAACTAAGGGAAAAACACAATGTTCATAGTGTTATTATTGCCTTTTGATATCACAGAAGGATATTTAGTGTATTTAATTAAGTTTTCGTCATTCAATCGTGTTTTCGTCCCTATGATTGTTGTCATTGTTGCTATTATTCTGTTAATGGCTTTCGTTGATGTTCTTTTCTTATATGTTCGACTTGTGTGGTTGTTTATTTATTTATCGTTTTTTTATTATATTAATTTATCTATTCTAATTAACTGGTAATTTACCACTTATATATTGGAAATTATGAATATTTTCTCTTATTATTCTTATTATACAAAACTCTTGGCTTAAAATTATATCAGAAGGGTTTTTGTGGAGATTTTAGAAATTTCGCTGATTGAAATCATGAGTCAATTGAAGCTAGACCACCATGGAAAACCTGGAAGCACTGGACGGCCGTTTCGTCCTAGTATGGGACACCTCAGCAGTGCGCATCCACGATCCATGGTGGTTTAGTTCCAATTGACTCATGATTTCAATCAGTGAAATTTTTAAAATTATATATTAAATTGTCAAAATAACGGTTTCCTAATTCTTTAGTTACTGTTTCAGTTTTCGAATCAATAAATTGGGTTTTAATACTATCTGTAACAGATCATGGTTTGATTTGATTGTAATAACACAGTATTCTGTTGTTAGCAGATACACCTTTAAATCCTAGTTATTGATTGATACTGATATCATAAATAAATTCCATTTTGATAGATTTAATATTTAGATTAAATATGTGCTGAATTGAATTTTGTTTATTACTCTGCTTAGCTTTCAGTGATACAATAATCATCAATTGAAGTTTCAATGAAGCTGATGAATAATCTCGTCAAAAGGTTTCATTACCAAGGTTTGACTTATGATTTTGAGTAAATTCAGCATTGGGTAGATTGTTACAAATAAAATAATATATTTGTAATATCCCAATGAGTAGAAAAATTAGATTTCGTGACTCAGTGTGAACCACTTCTTCAGAAAATAAATAACCAATCGAAATAGGACAAACAAAAAGAACAAAAGCATGTAATTAACATCTTACAATTTAATAATTTTCCTATGAAGATTATTAGAAGTGTATTAAAACGAGACGTTTCACTTGTGAATAATAACTTGAATGAAATAACATGGATAGGTATGTTAAAACTGTAATACCTATCCATGTTATTTTATTCAAGTTATTATTCACAAGTGAAACGTCTCGTTTTAATACACTTCTAATAATCTTCATAGGAAAATTATTAAATTGTAAGATGTTAATTACATGCTTTTGTTCTTTTTGTTTGTCCTATTTCGATTGGTTATTTATTTTCTGAAGAAGTGGTTCACACTGAGTCACGAAATCTAATTTTTCTACTCATTGGGATATTACAAATACATTATTTTGTTTATAATCTGATTGAAAGTTTCATTGCTAATAAACTCAGTTCACAGTTTATTCTTTTCTTGAACTTGAGCTATTTTTAATCTGAGTTCGTAAATCGTATCTGAAAGTGCATATTGCATTTTTACTTTCTTTTTTTTACCTGTTATCATTATGATTTTACATTCCCTAGACAAGTGTATGTCGAAAGATATCTTAAAATAATTTTTGTTTTGCTATTGATAATTCTTTTAGAATCAAAACTGATTTTGTTTCATTGCTTTGTCCAAATGTATATTGTACGTTATTAGAAAAGTTGCTTTATCATCCTTTTACGTTTATGTGTTTTTTAAGAATTCATTGCCGAATTTATGGTGTTTTTTTCAATCCACTGTAGTTAACCGATTTTTGTCAGTCAAGGAGTATAATTAGTTTTCTCTTATTGAATGTGTCCCAGAGATATAATTTAATGAAGTTCTTATGAGTTTTATTTTCTTCCACATTTAGTCTGTGGTAGAATTTGACCTTTACATCTATCTGTTCAGTTTTAAATAGAATTGTAATGTATTCATAAATCATAGTACCATTCATTTATTAAAATTTTTGTTGTTCCCTATTTAGTAACATTTAATTAATTGAAAACCCAACATGATTCTTACGAACATCTTTAGACTCTTGTTTAGTGACTAGATAAAAGGTAGCTGCACTTGAAAATGTTGAATTTTTCACTTACTAATAAACCTATCCTTAACCGGTCGTGGATTCGCATTTACATTACTTCTCAAAATGATTTCAAACAAATGTTCAGTGTTCCTTGATATTCAATAATTGCTCAACTGGGATAAATTAATTCTAAATACATTATTCACATTGAACAAATATCTAAAATTCACTTAACTAATTAATGGAATACATGTTTGTTTACTAGAGATAAAAAACCTAGATATTGTTTAATGGATTGTGTTTATTTTCAAATATTGTATATATTTCAAAGATAATTTCAAAATGATACAGTTTTCTAGTGAATAAAGTGTTATCATCATCATTATCATAATTTAGGAGAGATATTCTTTACTAGATCTACTCTTTTTCATATTTTATAATCTACTTACAAAGATATAATTTTTGATCTGAATATACATGGTAGAGGATGTCCAATTTTCAGAATTTACTTATTTTTGTGATAACAAATAATAATCATAATACATTAATGGCTTGTTTTTACTTTCCAAGATTTCATATTGTATAATTTAATCTCATTTTCTGTATATGTCTCTGCAGTTATTTTTCTTTTCACTTTCTTCACTATATCATACACTATTTGTCTTCGTGCATTTCATACTGATTTATAAGTTTTATTCATGATGTGAATGGATTTGGATTAATCTACTTAGAAAAATGTTATATTTTATTTTATTTTTCATAGTCAGTTTGTTACAAAGTATCATTTAAAAGTAGACTACTAATGAACTAATGTTTGTACAGTCTGTCTACGCTAATATATTGTTAGACGAATAATGTGCTGAATATCTTTGGTTCTTGAATAAACTGCCGACATGCTACAAATATTTGTAGATTGTTATTTGATTAGTAGATACATGAGTTACTTATTAAAATTCTTTTTTTCTCTTTGCATTATTTCAACTGTTGGAGGTGAAACAGTTCACTGTGGCAGATTTTCCCTCTTTCAGCTAATTATTATATAGTATTGTAAGAGCTTTTTGTTTTTCGGTGTACAACTTTCATCTTTTATTAGCACTGTGTTTTTCTGATACTGTTTATGGGAATCTCAGTGTTGATAATGACATCGTTGAGACAAGTTGACGTTACATCATTCAACAGTTGTTTTTCATTGTTAATTATTCTCCCGTAACAATACTTATCCTCGTTTAGTTTTCGTTTTTTCAAGAATCATCGGAGGATTTGTGTTAGTATCTTATAGTCATGTTCTGAATGGCTGAAGATTATTTTGAGCTGGCATTTTCACTTGATCATTCTTTACAATGTACATAATCTAAATTCCACTACATATTTTTTGCGGTATCTGTTTTTACTTGAAGTACACTGTAATCAGTTTTGTTAATAGCACTTAAGTTCTGAAGCCATAGTTGAATCCCAGTTAATTGGTAATGGTTAGTAAATTACTTAGGTCTTATGTTTAGAACCTTATTCATCTACCTGAATTAGATTTAGGGGATAGTATCATTAGATCTTATAAAAATAGTGCGCCTCACAGCTAAGCACACTAACCTGTATATGGTTACTCAATTGTATTATTTATTACTGATGAAACGTTTCGATTGTATAGGTAGTAGGTAATTTAATCTGACCAATTATTTTTAATATTTATTTTAGGTTATCTCATTGTTATTTTGTTCTTCTATTTTTAGATTAATGTAAATGTCAGTGAGATTTCAGAGGCCAGGTTAGTTCATCAACATTATTTTTACTATTGTAACCATTAGTGTCACTAGTGATATTTGATGTAGCCTTTTTAAAAATTGTTTCCTTTCTGCTACATAATCTTATTGTCCATACATTTTTACTGTTATTATTATCGTTATTATCATTTTAAGTTTCTTTTTGTTGTTGAGCTAATAAAGCTCTGTAGTACGTTTTAATTTGGTACATGACGAGGAAATGATGAAACTGCTGATTTGTAGTTTATATTCATGTTTCTATTCATATATGGCTCATTTATTTAATCAGTTATGTATCTATTGCTACTTGATGGTCTCATCACAGAATAGAAGCACTTCAGAATATACCTGCGATCGAACATCTATGATTAACATTTGCTCCTCACTACCAAATAATAGCAGCTGATCGCTGTACTATTTATTTACGGTTTGATAAACTGTCAGGTATTCCGTCAGGAGTATAACAAGTTCAGGCTAGCAAACACCAAACAGCTGTTTTGTATCGTTTTGGAGATTTTCGAGGTGGTCGAATCATCAAGGTTTTCAGAACTCCTCGATTATGTGTTGCTTTGTTATAAAATACACGTTAAATCTCAAGACCAATAATATGAGGCATATAACGAATACCCTCGTTCCTCACATTAATCAAACTATTTTCTATATTTGCCCGTAAAACGCGCCAGTGTTGTGATCAGCACATTTTGTGCTGGATATATGTTGGAAATTTGATTATTTTCTGCGTTTGATAATTTTCGCATAGAGTAGGCTTGCTTTTCGTTTAATCCTATTTTTGCACAAATCAATTTGGGGAATTCCGAACTTCAGTTTATGTGGCCGGGTATTATTACTAACCCTCACCTGAAAAGAAATAGATGAAAACCCAATACATTTATTCTTGGTTAATGATTTCATTGTTAGGTGGACGATAGCTATGTTCTAGCAATTTATTTGATGTTTCTTCTACAGTAAAACGGTCACAGAAACAAAAGCTATATCGAGTTGTGCATATTAATTTCTACTTCTTTTTTAAATTCTCCCTTTAGTGTGTCTTTACTCCGTAAATTTACCTTAACTTTATCGGCTCTGATACTTAAGTCTTAAATAAATATTTTTCCAAAAAAGCTTACATTTATCTGACGTTTCTGCTAAACAATTTCTTAATATTGTATGATATATATGCTACATTGAGCTTTTATATATATTGTTACTTATATGTAACTTTTATTGTAAACCTGTTAATAGTTCCTTTGACTGGCAGTTATTTGATAAACATAACCTTTTTATTATAGTCTGATTCTATTATTGTTTTCCCTTTTTCTCCCTAACTTTAAAGCTCTAATCTAGGTGTGGATAGTGTGCATAACTTATTCTTCATACTCTTGTAATATAATCAGTATATTACCCAGATGAGAATTGAATTTGTTTACAGATACAGTATTATTTTTATCATTATTATTATTATTATTATTATTATTATTATTATTGTTATTATTATTGTTTACAGTGTATTTCTGTCACATTTTATCATATTCCATTTTGTCTCATTGTTTTGCTGGGTATCAAATCTGATTTTATAGATCATCACTATTGTAATTTTATTTGCAAAAGTTTTACTGAATAGTTCCTACACTGTTATTATTATTTGCGTTACTACTATCTTTGAGTGAAATCTTAAATATTAACTAATTTTTATTTTAAATCATAAATTTATTCATTTATATTGTTAAATATTCGTTGTTCGTCGACTCTATTCGATACTGAGAATTCATTTGCTCTTTTGTTTAACTGATACAATGCTATCATAATTAGATCGGGAACAGGGGAAATCTGGAATTTAATAAAAATTTCGGATGCTTTGAATGGTCGTTTTTATTGAATGATACTGTCTATAGTATATAATTATGGTGTAAATATGCTCTTGAGTAACGTGAAGTGTTGAACCATGTTTCTCATCTAATTTTGCGAAACGACTGACAATAATGTAATCTTTGGGCTTTCATTCTTATTACTTGTATTCTAGCATAAGACACAGTTGATATAAAACTACCTAAGTTATCTGACTTAACATTATCATCTCTACTTTCTATATGATACTCAGAGATGTCAGTTTTTCATAATGTGTAGTAAGAATAATTATTACTTGAATTGGTTTCATCTGTCTTTACTAAATAATACTAATATTGTGGTGTGTGATACTTATATTGACATAAGTAGTATATGATGTTAGTCGTCAACAGAATGTCTGGAAGTAGAGAGACAAGAGGATCGAACAGTAAAGAATGGAAACAGTCTGCAATTTGTATGAAAATGCAAGAACAATGAAGTCTGAGTCATTTTGAGACAATTGATGGACATTTTGCAAATTAAGCATTTACTTTATGATTGTTAGATTTTATTAACAAGCTCTGTAATTTTGAGTCAAATACATTCGATTGTCTCCACTAGTGATAATAGTAATACTAATATTCTCTTTATTTATTACGATATATTTGATATGAGTAAAAAATTCTTACTTCAAAATGTGTAAAAAATTCCTCCTTTTTACGCAGTAAACGGATATTCAATATATATATATATATCCATAAATGTTTACAATCAGTCTTGTAACAACTAATATGCTTAATTTATGAGTTATGTAGTGTTTGCTATTCTTTTCTATGTTGGATGGAAGAGAATAAAAATATTCAGAAAGCTATGATGATACTTCTCAGTCGTTAAATTCGCGATAAAGTGAACATTTCATGGAAATGCGTAGGCACAAGCAGCTGACAGATCTAATTAGTTAATTGAAATAAGTGTAAAACGGGAAAATTTATGGTTATAAATTCATTTTTCTAAATACGTCCTAAAAGTTTGAGCAGATAGATGTATAAATTGTCTGTGGCTGAATATTAGATGTTAAGCAAGTTTAATTCATTAAATATCCACCCCTATATTTCATTTCATTCTGATAATACATAGTCTAATACTATTTGAGTATTACTCAGTCAGTCAAGCGTTAGGAAAAGGATCAGTAATACGCATTTATTTCCTGTGATAAAATATAATTATGTAACTTAATTATGCCTCATTTATTATTTGTGCTTTTTTTCGTTGCATTATATTATCAATATGGTTTTTTTTCTTCAGCAGTATTTGCTTAAGAAAATTCTCATCTGTTTCAAACTGTTCGCATTTAATTTACATAAACCTTGTGAAGGCTCTTTACTCGAACACCAATAGTCGAGTCAGAGCATATGAAGAACTGTCATCTGCTTTTGCAACCTCAACAAGTGTCCGTCAAGGCTGTCCACTTTCTCCATTTTTATTTAACTTCATCATAGACCTACTGATGGAAATAACATTCTCGTCTACTGAATTCTCGGGTATTGACCTCCTTCCAGGAGGTCCACTTATCGACCTAGAATACGCAGATAACATAGTCCTGTTTGATGAAGACGCTGATAAAATGTAGAGTCTTTTGGTAGGACTGAGCAACAATGCCAGAATGTTTGGAATGCGCTTCTCTCCCTCTAAATGCAAGTTGTTGCTTCAGGATTGGTCTGCGTCAACACCTGAACTAAGGATAGGGAGTGAAGTAGTCGAACGCGTTGACAACTTCACTTATGTTAGAAGTCTGATCAGACCTGATGGGTTAATGTCTGAGGAAATCTCTGCACGAATTGAAAAGATCGTTTGGCTTTTGACAACCCACATAACCTATGGAGAAGATGAGATATCCGTCTATCAATTAAGGGACGAGTATACTGCGCGGCAGTCCGTTCTGTTTTAATTTACGGCAGCGAAACATGGCCATTAAGAGTAGAAGACACTCGTAAGCTACTAGTATTTGACCACAGATGCCTTAGAACTATTGCTGGCGTCTGCTGAGGTTAGACGCAGGGTATTAGGAAATGATGATAAATCAGTTGATGAGGTTGTGAATCTTCATCGACTGAGATGGTTGGGCCACGTGTTACGTATGCCTGAACACCGATTACCACCACGCGTAATGCTGACTAGTGTTGGGGATGGTTGAAAGAAAGTTAGGGACGGTCAAACCAAAACGTGACATCAGTGCTCGAAGTCACTAACTTCTAGTCTTAGCCATGTTGATAGATGCAGACTACTTGGTTGGGGTCCGCGTGACTATCGTAACCAATGATTGGAGACTCTGGGTGACATGGCTCAGAATCGGTCACAATGGCGTAGGTGTATGCACTCTCTGTCTTCCCTTACACTATGAGGTTAAAATTGCTTTATATCTTTCTTTCTACCAACTAATCTTTTCTTCCTGTACTATATCCTTATATGCAATCTTTCTTTTATATGTTACTACCATTGAAGTAACTACTTTATAAATTCGTTGTTCATCTTGTTGTGCTAATGAGGTATGGCAACTTGGACCGATGAATATATGTGCCTGGTTCTACGTTGTAGCTGACTGACTGACTCAATCAACTTCTCACTCCTTTTTTTCTTATCATAAAATCTGAATTGATTCATTACTGAAATTAAAATAGTTCACATTCTTTATGAATTTCATAATTTTGTCTTATTGTTGATACGTTTAATTTTCATGATTGTTATTGTTTATTGATCTAAGCAAATGAACACAAAGGTTCCGTTAATTCGTTTCTTTTAATGACTGTTATTTGATGCTCAATATCTACAGATTCTTCTAAAAAACTAAATAGCCCAGTCGTTTCTTTTATTGAAGGAATCAAACCTAGGTCAATGGGCCTCAACTTCGAACTTTTCTCCGCTTAATTCAGTCGTAGAATCTGAATAGTATCACTAAATTTCCTATATTAACAATAGGATTTAGAACTTTTTGTATACTAATCCTTGTTTTATTTACTTAAGTGGAAAGTTGTATAGTTTTGTTCGTTTTATTTCAGTCGCTTAAAAAAAAATTAAAATGAGATTTCTACATAATTATTTAACGACACTTTGGTGATTTTAAAGACTGTTTTTATTTATATATATCAACTGATGATCCAATTAACATGAGGCAGACTTGTAAAAATATAAACTATTTACTTTCAACACAGATGTTTCCGATCTCTTTCAGTAGTTGTGAATGTACATTACTGTGTATTCTCAAACTGGAAATAAACAAATACTCCCATCGCTATTCGATTTTTTATTCTTCTCTAACTGATTTCATACTGTCTTGGAAGTTTTCTTTCTAGCTGAAATAATTATTTTTTTCTCTTGTTTAATTGTTCATTGTAAATCACATAGAAAATACAGAGTATATGTGTTATTTATGCTTATATATCATTATTGACCTTATTCACTTGTCGTTTTGCATTGAGGTGTTAACCTAACAGATTTTGTAGATAATATCAAAGTAATTAAAAAAAAATTCAATTATTTACTACTAAACATTAATGGTTTAAATTTGACTAGGTAGGTTTTATACAATTCTTAACGTTACATTGGTAATGTATGATGCTGACAGATTAACTCAGTTTTGAGGAATAATCCGTAATCATGTTATGTGAGATTAGTTTCATTAGAATATCAGTTGATTGGAATCTTAAGATTACTGCATAGTATATTTCGATTAGATAGTTGTAATAACACTTTTACTACAATGACAAGATATACTGGATTTTATTTTAACTGAGAATCATAAATCGTTTACCAAAGAACCTTTTAAAAACGTACTGACCTTATTCAATAATAATTTATAATTTTGAGTTGGTTAACAAACTGTTTATTTTATTTTGAGTTAAAAATTGTCTATGTTGCGACACTTCTTTATTTGTCTGTACATAAACCTTTCTTGTTTTAATTCAATATATTTGTTGTTAAAGTTGGTGATCTGTTTCTTTACCATCCAAATATGTAGTCTTATGAATATTTTACGGATATTTCTGCAAACAAATGATAAAAATAGTTTTGCATAGAGCTGCATCATCTATTCGCGAATAATGAAGATAAGAGATAAGTCAACTGTGAAGTTTATTGAGGGTCAACATTTGTGTGTATGTGATTTTCTTCACGGATCAACGTTAGCTGAGGAACCATTAAGAACCAGGGAGCACCGGACAACGGCTTTCAATTAGACATCCAATACTTCGCGGTAGATCGGATCTATAATTTTCAGGACAAAGGGAAGCGCTTAATTGCTAAATAACTTAGTTAAAATTCAATAGTTCATATTCCTATTTAGCGGGATTTCCATCTTTTGAATGCATGAAGGTCCTTTTATCGGTCCCTGACTATGTCGTGGGTGGATATTTCAGAAAAATTCAGTGGTTCCTCAGTTTATATCAATGCATGATGTAAATCAACTTCAATCTATGTGAGAATTCTTTTAAGCTAAATGTATGGCTTTCATTAACAACACTAGTATCCTGTGAAAAACTTATATTTATACAACGAAAAATATATATGATTCTCAGTTAACTTCCCTGTTTCATATTTCATCCACATATCTGCTAGTTGTCAATCTTATCTGTTTCAAAAAAGAAAAAATAACGATTGATACAATTATTCAGAAATGTAGGAAGATATTCGAAAATAATTTTAGTTCATTATAATAAATAATATTGATTCATTCAGTGCTATGCAATCGAACACACGAAGGGGACTGGATGAACTTTTCCCATGTATTTCTTCAATGGTATTTACTTCAAATCGTATCAGTTTTATTTTCGCATAGGGAATCTGTCATTCAAATATCAATTATTCAAGTGAAAACAATAAAGAAAAACAGGAAATAAACAAATTGAATGCGACTATCCCTTTTAATTTCTTTGTGTTCAACTCTATGGTTGAAAATAATATTCAACTTTACGTATATATATATATATATATATATATATATATATATATATATATATATATATTAGAATAGAGACCTGTTTACTTCTTTTTCTCGCCAAACTTAATTAGTAAATTTATCATTTTACATAAAAAAGAAAACTAGAATAGATGAATTGATCATGCCTTTAGTCATTCACTATGCAAGTGAATCCGAACAATCTAGATAAGTTTGCTCTTATTTGTGTGTATGTTTATTCTATTGTTAATTTTGGCAAATTATTTATTTTTAATTTGATATTCTCTCTTATTCTAACTTAATTATAATTTATTATATTTCTCTCTACATTATTGTGTTCATTTGGTTTTACTGAATTTTCTTAACCATCAGTAATTGCATTCAATAAATTTATTGCTGAGATGTTTATGTTTTTCATTTCTAAATTTGCTTTTCTTTTGAAAATAATTTAGATAATTGACAGTTTCAGTGAAATTTATTTATTAATTGATAAATTAGCTATTTCAGGAAACCTTATTTTTTGGTTTCGATCAAAATGTATAATTTCTATTTTAAATTATTCAAATACATGATATTAAGTATTGAATGTGGTTCTACTCAATTCTTCAATAACGTCTTTGTTTTAAAATTGAGAGATATAGTCATGTCTTAGTAGTAAAATTAGTTGATAAAATTAAGTAGTATATTTTGCTTAATCAACTATTACAATGGCTTTGAATAAATTGAACATTTATGTATTTTATATGAAGAAACATGACCACATTTTTACGTATTATTTTCAATTTCCGAAAGTGTATGTTTTAAGTGAAAAACAATTTTATTATAAAATATAGTATTTAAACTGCATAGTAAAATATGAATTAGTTTCATAGTGTGTCATTAACTTGATTTCCATTTTAGGTTGTAAAGCTGGATAGATTGAATTTTCTTAACATTTGTAGTTAGTTTAGGTGAATCTCCTAGCCTGTTCACCAGAAGTTTTAACTTTCGAAGTTTGCTTCATTTCACTATAATGGTTGAGTTTTTTCAATGAACATAGAATAGAAATCCTACATGTGATTTGAGAGATACTGCTCAGGATCCTCTGCATAAATTTCAGAATACTCAACAAACCTGTTCTATTCTTGTGTGGACGATCAAATCATAAACTTCACTCAAGGAGGTGGGGAAAAGTGATTCAGTTCTATTGGCATCTTACACACTAGTTGGTTGATTCAAACTCATTTTATCTTTTAGTCAGAAGAGCTGTTGGAGTTCATATTTTTGAAGGTGAATAGTTATATTCCTTTTAATTCCATAAATTTCGTTTACTACTCACTATAGTATGATATTTCCTTACATTAAACCAGTGTTACACCTTATTTTCAGTTTTACACCAATTATTACTACTCTTCTTGTTCGTCTTATGATATCTTTCACTATACATGCAGAGATAGGTTAGTAAGGTAATAGTATATTTAAACAAACTGTCCTTTATACATAACCCCAGATGACATGAATTGATTAATCGACGTTGTGTTAATGTTATTCTGTTACAAACTCGAATAAAATTTCATGTTTATTTCTCAACTGTATGCACATTTTTTTTCCTTGAAACGTTGTTATCGTATTTGTTTTCTTCTAATTCTCTTTTCAATTCCTTCGTGGTGTATCTACTTTTTATAGTGAAAACTATTCAATTTTATTTCCAGCATCTATTTTATTTTAAGCGAAAAGGCATAGGACTTAAAATAATTTTTAGATATAAAAGTGTTAACATCTGAATTTTTCGTTGTTGTATTTCATTTCCTTCTACTATTGTGTTGTGTTGTGCTATATTTTTCTTTACATATATTATTTTTTTAATATATTGATCTATCTGACAGTATTATCATTATATCGAATGTGAAGAAGTGCTAGCATTCTCAGTTTTTTTTATAACACAGAGTAAGTGAAGCATCATTCAAATGTTTAGGGTCTAGTGCTTGAATTTCAGAAACAATACTTACTGAACAGCTGTTCTACTAATATCTTCATATTATTTTAACGGATGATTTAATTTTCTTTAATACATTCTTTCTCCCATTTAATTTAGAGTTAAACATGTATGGCCATTACTGCTTCCAGAACATACAACTGTTTTAGATGATAGTCTAGGTTTAGCTCTTTGGTTTGCAGCCCGTGGAAAAGGTGTTTTACACAGTTCAAGTGAATTCGAAGAGAAATGCACTTCGTCAGCAAAGGTGTGTTTATTTTTCGAAGATAAAAACGTTAATAATGTTTCATTACTACAGTTTCTTCCTATCTAAATAATTTAACTAACTATATTGATATTTAAGGATAATTTTATTGAGTCGATTAAAACTTCTTTTTAAATCAAATGAACCTAAAGTTCGCGTGGCTAATTAGTCATTTCGGTTTCGTTTGAGTTTTTTTCTGGAATAATCGTTTACGTCTTTCTCACCTTCATAGCTAAACTCAATCAATCTGTTTACCTACAGTTGCAGCTGAGACATCCGATTTACGATGACGTGTTAGGTCTAGGGTTTTTATACTGAACATTGACTTTTAAAAGGATAATAGTAATTTCTGCTCTGGAACCCAGCACTGAAACCTCATGTGTAGTTGAGCTTCCTGTCCAAGTGATCTGCGGTTTTTGAAATCATTTATCTCTATTACTTCGTAAACGCAAACTAGAACGAAACATATTCCCCCTCTTCTGTGGTTTGCTTGGTTATTTATAACTTTATATCGCAAAACCACTGTTTTATTGCTTTTATTTATTTGTTTGTTATTATTACCTTAAGAAAGTTCCTATGTCCTGTTGACTCACAAAAATTCACAGCCTTACCGTAAATAAATGTTTTAATGGTTAATTAAAAATCAAAACAGTTATCATTCGCTCGATAGTATTTTTATCTCATTTACATGTACTACTTTTACACTTGTAAACAATTCTGTCATACATATATGTCTTGTAAAGATGAGTTAGTTGGAGCCCTAGGATTTTGGCAGCAAATTTTAGCTTATCTAAAATATTTAGTGAAAAAGATGCTAAGATTTGTACAGATTTTTCAATTTCTTATTTTCTTCATCACTATCTGATTTTAACTTTGGTTATGATTTCAATGAATATTTTTACAATCTTTTGTTAGTTGTTTCCTAAATCTTTCTTGCTAATGATAACTACAGTATATTCGTTACAAGTTGACCTATTATCTATGACAAAGTAGTATTGTGCAATATTTACTGTCTTTAATATGGAGTCGATAAAAGCGGTGTTAAGAGTGATTATTTAGGTTTCTTTTGCATTATATTTTTGGTTTATATCTTGTCTTTTTTACTTGGCATATCATATAAGAGCAAATTGTGTGTAAACTAAAATAAAGGTTCTCACCTATTTTCCTGCAATTATATTGTACTATGGTCAAAATGTTTAAAATAATGTCCATGTCATTGCGTGAAATTCAGTTGTCACAAAAAATGAAATTGTTTCAATTGTATACCCAATGGGTTAGTGATGCCGCACTCGATACAAAGTAGGCAGGTTTGCGAGGGAGTTCTTCAGTTAAATTTATAACTATTGTTACCAATCAACTGTTATCATTGTCAGATTATCTGAGAACGAAGAAGTAAGTGGAAATTTTTAGTCTAAAATTGTTTACAGTGATCATCTTATCGTGGTAAAACCACATTTATCTGTTTACCATATCACAATATTATTTTATATCTTTGTCATTCATCTTGCTAGTTCAAAGAATCTGTTGTATAGTAGTTTTCATTTTTGTTCAGTAACATTTTATCCTGTACCAGATATTTCCGACTGGTTCATAATTAAGAAACGTCAATCAAATAATCTAAATTGCAAATGACTTGGATTCATTTCTATCGTAACTACAATAAATTTTAACATTTTATTAATCAATGTCCCTGTATTCCCAGAGTTACTTTTCTCTTAACTGTAGATCTGATCTACATCATCCGTATATTACACTACTGTGTATGAACATCTATATCATAAAAAAGCCTATTCATTATATAACAAAAATTATATGAAATTAAAGTTTATTATTTAATTTTCTTAAAAACATATATCCTTAAATTATATCATAGTATTGTAACAATTAATTTTTCGACTCAGTTTCGTTTATATCCCGATAGTTTTCCGTTTTTGTAAAGTCTGAATTTCAAGTTTACTTTTCTATTAAAAATTACAAATTTTTTGTGGCCACACCACTTTTTCTTTTAGTCAAAATCGATTTAATCTAAATTATTTCAGTCTAAAATTATTTTGCGATCTTTTGGTAACATGGTGAACGGAGTTACAGTTAATTAGCTTTGTGTTGGCTAGTCTGAATAGAATTTAGTGCACACGCTGTGTTTAATTCTGTCACATATATCGACTTAGCCGTTTGAAGCATGTCTTGTTTGAATGTGACCATTCTGAGTTCATCTTAGTGTTGTTGTGCTTGTCTCTGAGACGTCAGAAAATAAATTGAAGAATTAAAAATTGATTGTATTAAATTATGGATGTTTTTCTTCCAAAAACTATTCAATTATTTTACAGGTGTTATTTTTTAAATGTATTTTGTGAGAACAATTGAAATTCGTAATATTTTCTTTTTAACTTGACACATGAAATCCGAGACTTCAATTGAAGCATTAGCATAAACTTTTTAAGAACCACTGTGGTGCGTGCTACTTATATTGATATAAGTAGTATATTATGCGAGTCAGGAATGTAATGTCTGGCAGCAGAAGATGAGGGAAGATCAAGAAAGCAAGAGCGGGAATAGAATGCAATTTGTATGAAAATGAATGAACAATGAAGTTTGAGGCATTTTGAGACAATTGGTGGACATTTCGCAAATTAACGATTTAATATGTAGTTCTCAGATTTTATTGAGATGCTCTCTAATTTTGTGTCAAATACATTCGGTTGTCCCCACCCGTGTTCTGTTCACTACATCACTATCTCAACTTAATTGAATTAATTTCACCACGTTAATTTATGTGTTGCAGGTTTGTTGCTATGTTCCATCCACTTGAGGTTGGTGAAGCCTCAATCGGTAAAACTCACAGGCTTATTTGAATCAAAAATCCACTTTCCGAGGCTCACGAACCCACGGTATTGACGTGGTTTTTTGAGAATCTCGTTGTTAATTAATTTTCTTTACACTTCGATTGATTTTAGGTCCTTACGATGATCACTTTAATCATTCATCGAAATAATTCTGAAGTGTTTTCCTTTGCTTGTTTTTTAGTTTCTGTTCCTCGGTTCTGGTATAGATGAACAATTAGCTGGTTATGCTCGTCATCTAACAACATATAAGTAAGATGTCTTATTTTTTTCCTTTAAAACTTTATGCACTGCATAAAATGTGCTTGATTCGATGGGGTTACTTATTTATTGAAATGGTATTATTAAAGCAATATAACCAATCAAATGATAATTTAAAACGTGTGGAATAATTATATAACCGATTTCCATAATAATGGGGATCTTAGAGATAACTAAAGTGTTGCTATCAATTTGAATTCATCTAGGATCTTTAAAATCCCAACAAAAATAACCCATTTATCGCCCACTGTAATGATTAATTTTAATGTATTTTTATTTCTATTCAAATAAAAAATTACTTTGAGGAAGTACTTGTAAAATGTATCGTATAGTGTGGAATAGTAGGTGTTTAGCGGTGATAGAGTTGTTACACACCATGTTTAGAGATAATAAGTTCAATGAAACAACTAAGTTACTAAAAATTTCTTGTCCATCAACTATTGATTTCACTATGTATTCACTAACTACTTCATTAAACAATTAAAAGCCGTTGTAGGTCTATAGTTGTAGAGGTTTTTGGGTTTCATCGAAATAATGAACCGATCGATAGAATATTATAATTGAAAACTTAGAAGTACTGGACGTCCGTTTCGTCCCGGCATGGTCCACGTCATCAGTACTCAACCACAACCCCGCACACAAGACTTGAATCCAAAGCATTCCGCTTCTCACGCGAACACCTAACCTTCAGAACACTAAGTGGCATCCAACGGTGTTAATGTCCAACCTCAATCATTTCACGACATTGCGCAATCATTTCCAATTGTTTTTTGTGGGTGACTGCCTTGCACGTGACATGTCTGAACTCTCAACAGAACTCCTGGAATTTCCTCTCAGGATATTATATCGCTAATACATGACTGCGTATCAGAGTGAAAATACATTAAAAGAACAGAAAGGAGAGTGCATGTGCGAATCTCTGAACAAGTTCTAAAAAAAGAGATTAAAAAACGGAGGATCTCAACATTCAACTGACACTATACGTCTTGTCAACGTTTTAGCATCATTTTAAAAAGTCCACACGTTAAAAAATGCAACCCAACTACATTTTGTTTAAATTTTTACACCGAAAATTCACTGGTGAGCTGTGAACTTTCGGTGTAAATGTTTTTTCCTGTATATTCTTATATACAATCTTTTTTATATATTACTACCATTGAAGCAACTACTTCTATGAATTTAGTGTTAATCTTGTCGTGCTAATGAGGTATGGACGTATACATATATATGCCTTGTCCTATTCTTTAGCTGACTAACTGACTACTGTTTTCATTAGGATGATTGAGGAGCTTTTGTTAGTTCATCTGCCTGTTTAATCCTTACGTCATCAAATTCTAAGTACTCTTGTTCCCATCGAGTGAATTATTATCGGCAATCTTCACATAATCTATGTATTCAGTATTCCGCCGCAAGAAAGTTTTCTTGGTTTCGTTTAACATTCTCTGCAAACTTTACTTGGGGAACCTGTGCATGAACAACCCCGTTAAAAAACTTTTGTAAAGTGGTTAGTTAATGGTTAGGTTGTGCGACTTCAAGGCCAGGCCAAAACACCTCTACACCCACTTCATTTTAGGTATCTAAATATTAATATTAGCCCTCACAGAGCGTGGGGCTCATACTCCAGTACATAATAAATAAATTATCATTACTAATATTATAACTATTAATAATAATGACTTTTTTAGTCATAAGCATTTTCGGTCATCAAATTTAATTAGGTATTACTGGCATATTTCACTCCATTGGATGGATTTTACCAATTCCAAGAAGGATTTAAGAAGTTGATGAGAGTTCACACATTACAATAAAATCCATATTGTTTTTCTGCCCTAATTGTTACTCCTTTTTTGTTCTCAAATTTATATAGGGAATCTTTCTTAACAGTTTTATAGTATGTTAATATCAACTTACCGGTATATATATATATATATATATATATATATATATATATATATATATATATATATATATATAAACTTGATTTAAAAATTATGATTTACGTATTGACCCAATTTACTGTTAATCATCTGGCTATGCATTTGTTTGTAGACCTTTTTTATTTAAGAATGAAGAACTGTCAAATAAATAAATGAATAGTGATAATTGGAAATACTACAGAGAGTAAGGTTATAAAAAGAATATCAAGTTTTCTCATCACCTACAGCATAATTTTGACCTTAAAACACATTTTGAATTTTTGTACATTATCTGTCAGTAGTGTATTACTGAATTTTCTCTAGCGTTGTACAGGGAGTGACTGAACTGAGGTCCGACACTACTAGTTGATGAAGTCATTGACTGTTGAGTTGTGTATAGATGAGGAACTTTCGTGGTTAAAAACTAGCGACAAATTGATTCAGTGATCTTATTTCCTTAAATGTTATGTCTAAAGATAAGCTGCAACGCAGTGGTATAAAAAACGTTTAACATATTCTATTCTACTTAGCCCATATTTTTTTAATATGAGCCTGTTCAGTGTATTACTTCTTACTCTAGACAACAAGAGGATGGATTCAGTAGATTGGTTCATTGAGCTGTCATCCTCAAATATGTATCAGCATTTAATAAGCCTTACACAAAATGCTACAATTAAATCACAAATAGATAGTGTTATTTTCATTATTATTGGCTTTAAATGTCATATATATATATATATATATATATATATATATATATATATATATATATATATGTTAAAATCATTAGCCGATCAGTTTTAGACCATCATTAAAAATCCAGAAGCACTGGACGGCCGCTTCGTTCTGGTAATGGGACTGCTCAACAGTGTGCGTTCACAACTCCGCACGCGGGACTTGAACCTAGATCCTTTAGTCTCGCACGACCGTTCGACCTCTAGACCACTAGGACGAAACAGCTTTCAAATGCGTGTGAACAACATCTACACTGTGTTTTCAAGCTTATTATTTATGTATTGTCTCTTGATTTTATGCATTAGTAGTAGTGGTATAAAAATTAAGGCTCTTAAAGAGATTGTATTCAGCAGTATCTAAGATTCTATTACTCTTCTTACGTTTTACTGCTTTTATCTTGATTACATAAATGTTGAATTGTATCAATATGTGGGTTATAAATTTCAGTGCTTCGTTTTCGTGAAGTTTCGATTGTGGTTTTTTATTGGACTTTTCAATAAGTTTAAGCTTTTCTTATTAGTTTATAGATATCCTATATTTGTTATTTAGATATAGGATATATTATCCATTTCACTAAGATAACTTTTTAGACATGTCATTTTGCGACCGTAGACTACATGTTACGATGGACTTCAAAATTATATCCAGAATGTGTGAAGTTTCATACAGAAACCAAGCAAACCGTCAGCTAACTTACACACCAGCGATATGACTTGATCTGGTAATAGTCTGTTTTCCAGTCTACTTTGATTTTAATGTAGGTGGGGCTAAGCATACGTTGTATATATCTCAGCCACTACAGTTGGCATACATTTATAGAGTGATCAACGAGTCCACAAATTATATTACTCTTAGTTTTGTATGGAATTTTTGAAGTATTTCACTCCTGGGTTTTCTACGAATCAGACTGTTTCCTTTTTTTCCCTTTGGTAATGGATTTTATGCAAACGAACAATATAATTTGAAGTTGTTACAGTAGTACATGAATTTGACCGTGATCGTTCTTATTATGTTTACCAGGTGTTTTCCTAATCTTCAATGAGTTGCACTGACTGAAGCATCTCATAAATGGAGTTATTCTCATCTTCAGTCTTTTTTAAATAAGAGAAAAGAACGTGTTTAAATCCACATGTTTATATTCACTTACCATCTACTTATTCGTCATCCTTGGATACATAAAAGTTAACAGATTCGCTGTTTCTTTGTATATGAAGTGTGGAACGTTCTCTTTTATGTCTGGAAAAAATTAAGGAATTAAATTTGAATAATTTGGTGTTTTACTCTAACAATCGAATACATTCAGTTATAATCTATTAACTTGTGGTTTTCTCTAAATTTAAGTCTTTTTAGTGGCAGTAATTCAAACTAGCCTCGATTGCTGTCGACAGTATTATTATTATCATTGTTTGTTAAAATCCCAGTATCAGAGTCAAGTTTATTATTTTTTATTACGATTATTTGGTTTAAATTGTCTTTGTTATTGAGATCAATATCTCCTTCAGCATAACTCACTGATCGAGCATCATTTAGTTGCTTACTACCAATTTTCAGTCTGTCAGTTTTCACTTTTGGTTTCGTATCATAATCTGAATTGGATCTAATGAAATGTGAAGGTCTCAAAAATTTGGAGGATGATGATGATGATGATAATAATGTTAACTTGTGTTTATCAAAGCAAGACGTATTAGTTAATGGTCTTTTTTGTAAATTTTGTTCCTCTATGTAAGTTTTCATATGTTTTTTATTGTCTGTACGACGTCGGCTAATTTCAAAGCATTTAAAGCATCCTTCAAATCTACTGTATTGTCTACGCATTATTACACGTATCGGTTCATTTAACCATCCATACAACAATGGATTGACACAGGCGGAACCCATTGCAAATAATTTTAATAAAAGATCAATAATTTTTATGTGTCTCCCCGGTATAATATTCATATTTGGTTTCATTAAGTCAATCGATGAATCCATTGTAAAATTTCCATTCATAATAGGTAGTGATTGGTTCATTGTATACCATAGAAAGTCTTCACATGTTTTCAAACCAATAGAGTATTTCCATGTTTCATCCTCTTTGTGAATTGCTTGTTGACTTGAATTGAATAATCGATTAAATTTTAATAAATCATATGTACTTGCTGATGGTAAATCATTTTCAACATTTAATAAAGCTTGTACTTCTAATAATAATGAATATAAACACCATGGTGTCCAACAGACTGCAAAACAAACAACTGTTATTACTAATAAACTAGTTGTACGCTTTTTACGTTTTTCTGCTTCTTTACTAGCATTTAATTGACAAGGTCGTTGTTTTAATCGTCGATAGATAGCTAAATA